TTTGCTGAAATTGCGATGTCACATGATTGGATATTTTAATCTTTCAATAGGAAGTTCTGTCCTACAATGGATCATTTCATGACTGACTCCAATCAAGGCTAACTGTATTGTCTCACATTAGGGTGAGCATAAGCGATGATAGTTTTCACTTAAAATGAAATAATTACATTATAATACAAATCTAATTTTCAAAATCAAAATCACGAAAGAATGCCTACAGAAACACATTCAAATGACTAAACTACTTACAATACGTCTCTAAACTAGCTAAAGGCACCCGTGAACTTCCATCTCTTGACAGCATTATTACATACCAGATTCAAAACTGTAAACCTACAATGGCTAAAGCAAGCACGAAAACTTACCTCTTGAAGACCTACGAGAGGTGGCAGGTGGCGTGACGTGCGGAGCCGGGTGGGGAGAAACGTACACGGCGACGGGCACCAACGACAGTAGCAGGCAGGCGCACGACGTACGTAGTTGGCAGGTGGCGTGACGAGCGGAGCTGAGTGGGGAGAAACGTACAAAGGCGAAGACGTTCGTAGAAGAGACAGAGAGAACGGGAGCTCGCTATGGGTGAAGTGAGAAATGGAGTGTCGCGGCAGCGTAAAACGAGAGGATACTATGTCGGTTGCCCTAAAACCCGTCATCAAATACACTTTCTATGTCGGGTAAAATTTAACCGACATAGAAAGTTCACTTTCTATGTCGGGTAAGATTTAACCGACATAGAAAGTGAACTTTCCATGTCAGTTAAGTTTTACCCGACATAGAAAGTGAACTTTCCACTTACCATGTTGGTTAAATTTTACCCGACATAGAAAGTTTATGATTTTATTACAAAATTGTCACCGCGCTACATATTATGACGGGTGGACTACGATCGCGATAAAAACTCGTCATTGAATATTATTTTTCCACTAGTAAATTTATCTAAAATCTTAATAGATTAAATTTGTAGGTATATTATTATTATTATTATTATTATTATTATTATTATTCACCATGAGGTTAAACTTACTATTAAACTTTAATATTCTTTTCTTTCAAATATAAATTCATATATATATATATATATATATATATATATATATATATATATGAAAGAATATTTTAACTATGAATATTTTAATAATATTTATATAGCTGGGTATTTCTTTTATATATGAGTATAATAAATGAATTTCAGTTACCACATTATCCAACAAATAACTACTTAATTACACATGTCGTTATAACTTATTAGCGTAATGTAACTTTCAAATGATAATTATTTACTTACAAAAATCATAAGGTGAATACTATTATTTAGTTGTCATTATTAAGATGAGACAATTATTAAACACTTTCTTTATATGAAATTATATACAAATCATGTCAAAAATTTTATATTTTCTTTTAATAATATTTCTCATTTTTTAAGATGAGATAATTTACTCTTACACATTACTACAAAATATGTTTTCAACGTCGGTTAAAGCTGAACTGACATTAAATAAACTTTCAACGTCGGTTGGTTAAAAACGACGTTGAATGTTGGACACATTCGTCGGTTTTTAGTCAATCGACGTAGAAAGCACTTTCTACATCGGTTCAAGCTGACGTTGAATGTGTTTTCACTCAAAAATTCTCTTAAGTTAAAGAATTGTCACTAACAGGATTCAAACATTGATACTCCAACCATTGACGAGTGTAATTTTTTTATAATAACTTACAAATAAATTATATTTATATTAGAGAATTGTCATTAACGTGATTCGAATCCAATATTTTAGAGTTAAAAATTGATACTCCAACCACTAAACTACTATAATTTTTTGATAATAATTTACAAATAAATATATATCCGTGTAAATATATAAATATAGAATATATAAATATAAATATATTTATATATTTTGATATATTTATATAGTTATATATTTATATATATTTATATGTTGGATGTGAGGACGCGTTCGAGGGTGAAAGTGAGATTGACTTTCGCTTGAGTGAAAATACGTTAAAACTCACGGAAATTGACTCGCTCAAGCGATTGGTATTTTTCGCTTGAGCGAATGATACGTTTCCCAAATTTATTTTATATCATTATATAAATAAATTATAAATATTATACTCTGTCATTAAATTACAAACCCATACAAAGTGACCAGCTCACAAATTTGACATCAAATTTTGAAAACACACTCGACACACACTTTCACCTTCGAAGCGTGCTCTCACATCCAACATATAAATATATAATTATATAAATATATCAAAATATATAAATATATTTGTATTTATATATTTATACGGATATATATTTATTTGTATATAAATATAATTTATTTGTAAGTTATTATCAAAAAATTTAAGTAGTTTAATGGTTGGAGTATCAATCTTAAACACTAAGGTACTTGGATTCGAATCTTAATCCTATCAGTGACAACAAATTAATTTAGTAATATTGTAAATTTCAAAAAAATATGATAAATAATAAAAATATAAAATAAAAAATATTAAAGTTAGGTGGATGATATTTTGTAAGAAAACCGTAGTGTTGAAGTTCAAAATATATTCGGGGTAATTGTGGTGCCGTGGGATACTGGTTATCTTTTTTCACACAACGTCAAAGACTGAACGTTTAAAAGTTGGAAAAAGAAGCTACCACGTGCATGTGTTTCACCCATTTATTCATGCTCTTGTCTTTCTGCATGATTGAACCCATCCCTTTTCTTTTCTCTTCGATCTGCATTTATTAAGATCCATTTAAATTGAAAAAAGATTTCATCATTTCTGATCGTATCCACTATTTTCCTTTTGCAACCTACGTTACTTATAATTAAATTGTTTTTAACCCAATCCAATAAATGTCTGCATGTGTCATAAAGTTTTAGAATGCTTCACATTAATATTTATGTCTTACAAAATATAATGAGACTCAAAAAGATAAAAAAAAAAGTATTTTATTAATGAAAATAATGGTAGGAATGTGGTTTTTGATAGTGTAAAAAGTTTATGATATTTAAATTAACTTTTTTAACAAGGAAATCCAACGCTTAAATTAAATTCGTTTGAAAAATATAAATAAAGAAAATTAATGGAAAATAATAATTTTTCTTATTTGGTAAAAAAATATAAAAAAAGTATTACTTTTCACATTATCAGACATATTTATTTTCTCCTCGTGTATGAATAAAAACAGTAAAAAATATAAAATTATTCTTTAATTAATAAATATTTCACTTTTATGTTACTTTTCTAAAAATTAATATATATATATATATATATATATATTATTCTTTTCTTTCATGAACTTTATATATATATATATATATATATATATATATATATATATATATATATATATATATAACAAATTTTGAACAGCGGATTTTTAAAATTAGAATCCTCAATGATACTTTTTTTTATGTTATTTTGGAATTTTGAAATTATACGCGTCAGATGTGAATCAGGTACACTGGTACAGTGTAGAGGGCAGGTTGGTAATTTCCGGCGATGGTGATTTGTGAGAGAGGAACGCTTCTTCATAGCTGGGTCGTTAAATTTGTTTGAAAAGGAAGAAAGAAGAAATGGTGAAAAATGTAGAGTGAACTGCAACTAACAAATTAAGAGGGAGACACCATATCTTCTTCTTCTCTCTGTTTCAGAAGCACAGAACACATTCTCACCATTTTCATGCTTTCAGGGTGTCACCCTTTTCGCTCTCATTTTCCTTTCTCCTCTATAGCCACGCATCTTCCTGCACCTCAACAATTTCCATCTTTCCATTTTCCTATCACCTTCTTTTCTTACTGTTCCGCTTTCCGACTTCAGATTGCGTTTGCGCAGGTGAAGAGATGCTTCAACGTTGATTTGTATTCTTTTTCATTTTGTCCTGTAATTTTACTTCACTTTTCTGTTGCTTCTTTTCCGAAGTTGTTTTTTCAACTTCCGCATTGTATTTGTTTTTCACACTACGGAGGCTAAAAGCCTTGTCATTTCTTCTTTATTTGAGGCTTATTAGTATTATCATCACACACATTATTGTCTTTATTTAGTTTGTTATTATTTATGAGAACTTAAAAAAATAAATTGATCTAGAGTTTGCTTGTGCTGAAAATGTGAATCTCCTTGTGTTTGATCGATAATAATAGATTAATGTTTATTATATGAAGCTCGGATATTAATTCGGGACCTCCAGTTCGATTTTAACTGTTTCTTCATAAACACGGCAAAATTTGCGTCACATTAACGGTTCAGCTATGAGACTCTTTGCAATTTTGGTTTATTTTTAATATAATATTTTGTTTCTAATTTATCCTATATTTGTTTGGATTAACATCTATATGCTAAATTTAGGAGAACTAGAAGCAAAATCTACTGTAGCGAAACAACTAGGATTTTTAGTAAGATAATTACGTCCATTCAAGATATTCTTTTCTTCTGGCAATACCATTCCAGATATTTTCATCTTAAATTTCTTAGCACACCAAGTGGTGAAGAATTTTCCTGCAAAACTTGACTCCCCAGTCTTTGTCGCCGTTGGTAATTCTCGTAAACTAATTCTAAAAATTCAATGTTCCATGTGAGGGAGAATTTGACAGTCTGTTCTGTGTCTCGGGGAACATCCCAGAAAACTCCAATTTTTCCATTAGAATACGTAGAGCACCGCATTTTTGTGTAAAAATTATAGGAGCATGTCATGCTGGTCAATTATTATTTTTGGCCCCTCTCTGGCAACTTTGAATTTAAAATTGCATAGAACATCATTCTTTTATTTTCCTTGCTTGTTTATGGAGTTATGACCTTTGATTAATTTTGTTGCCGTAGATAATGATTGGGGGTTGAAAGCTTCGGTGGCCCTTGTGTTCCATACCATCCCAGCAATAGTACAAAACAACTTAAAAAGTAATAAAATAACTGAATGCCGAAGTGGCCTTTTGGGGTGCTTTGAATTCGGGACATGGTCTCGTTGTCACTGGTGGCATTGAAGTTTTAGCTAGAAAGTAGAGAAAATGGGTTCCATTGCAGAGGAGGAGGCAATGCAAGACCTAACAGGCAGTGAGGAGAGGATTATTGTTTCTGTTCGTGTGAGACCTTTGAATGAAAAGGAACGCGCAAGAAATGATCTGTCTGAATGGGAATGCATTAATGACACAACCATCATGTACAGGAGCAACCTTTCAGCTACAGAGAGGTCCCTGTATCCAACGACTTATACATTTGGTATGAAGAGGCTAATCTTACGATTCCATGCGTAGATTTGTTAATGTTAGGTTTATTTATGAAAGCTTATAATCGAGATACAGAATGCTATGGGGTGAAAGGGCGCTTCGGGATCTTTTTAGTCAAAGTTATGTAAACATGTCGTAAATGTGGACGTTTCTATACATGGAAATAGAAGGCGGTCCATTGCTTTTGCCACTAAAACAATTTTACCAAGACCATACTCATGGCTTTAATTCCATTAGATCAACATGGGTGTATGATCCACCTTGATTTTTTTCTCTTTTGCTGTAGATCGAGTATTCAGGAATGACAGCCACACAAGGCAGGTGTATGAAGAAGCAGCTAAGGAAGTTGCTCTTGCAGTTCTCAGTGGCATCAACTGTGAGTTTTTTTCCCCCTTTTCCTACCTTTATTCCTTCATAAGAATGAACTTCCAAAGAATTTCTATATTAAAAGCTCCGGGTTGGCTTATTTGGTCTTTGATTAAATATTTGAACAGCAAGCATTTTTGCATATGGACAAACAAGCAGCGGAAAGACATACACCATGAGTGGTATTACAGAGTACGCCGTAGCAGATATTTTCAACTACATTGAAAAGGTAAATGAAATCTGAACTCATCGATTAATTGCTGCATTGCTTTGTCAAAACTCTAAAGTGATATTTTTATTTTCATAGCACACGGAAAGGGATTTTGTTTTGAAGTTTTCAGCAATGGAGATCTATAATGAAGCCGTCAGGGACCTCCTTAGCGTTGACAGTACGCCTCTCAGACTTCTTGATGATCCAGAGGTAAAATACCTTTATCTGTTTTTTCTAAAAGCTCGTGCAAACATTGTACTAACAGTTTGCAAGTTATACAGAAAGGGACAGTTGTTGAGAGACTTACAGAGGCAACTTTAAGGGACTGGAACCATTTTCAAGAACTTATTGTTTTCTGTGAAGGTAAGGACTAGGAAGAATTTACTTTCTTTATCTATTTTGTTTTCGTTTAACTTTCCTCATTATAAATTGGTTTTTTGCCCATCCCGAGCTGACTGCGTAGTTATTATAAAATTGATTGCATTTTTCAGCTCAAAGGCAGATAGGGGAGACAGCCCTGAATGAAGTGAGCTCAAGATCTCATCAGATTCTTAGATTGGTAAGTATGTTCCTTTTTTTAGGGAAGAGAATTTTTCAGGACCTTATTGCTAACATTTTCTAAATAATGTGATTCTTCAGACAAGTGAAAGTTCTCCGCGTGAATTTATGGGAAATGACAAAATGAGCTCCCTTGCCGCTTCTGTGGTACGACTGAATAACTCAAATTATAGCAAATATGAAAGAATTACTTTATTACGATGAAGAACAATAATAATGAAGCTCAAAATTATATATCTTTTATCCCTGGTACAGAATTTCGTTGATCTTGCTGGGAGTGAGCGGGCATCTCAAACTAATTCAGCTGGTACGAGGTTGAAAGAGGGTTGCCACATAAATCGTAGTTTACTAACTCTAGGAACTGTCATACGTAAACTGAGGTTAGCTTATGAATTTTTCATTTCAATATTTATTTTAATCAACTAAATGCATATTGTCTCTATATACTTTTGCCTTACTCAGAACTTTACCACCCAAGCAACGATCTTTTAGAGAAGCTGGAAGATGGTTCACTTTTATAAACATATTGCTTTATGGCTACATGAGGTTACTTTTCTTATAATGGCATATGGTGATTTCTTAACTACTCTTCAAATATACAAATATGAGTGATTTTTTATTTACTGATCTTTCTAACAGTAAAACCTGCAAAACTATACAAAAGGAAACCTCCGTAAAGTTTTTCTGTCGTCTCTCCCTTTTTTCTCTATCATCTCTTATCTCACTGCTCACTTTTATGCATGTTCATATAGATTAATTGGTCAACTTTTTCTCTATTTTAATACATATCCTCCACTAAAAATTTATGAATAGTAAATATTGACAACCAACGAAAGAAACACAAATATTACCATTTAATGCTCAAAACTCTAGACGCTCCTTATTCGTTAATTTACGTTATTATTATTATTATGAAAATAATCTGGCCAACTGATTCTGTTTCTACCAAGTTTTTTACTTTGGGAATTATGAAGAGGAGAAACTCTTTCAGACTTTTTTTGTCATGAACTTACTGTATGCGTCAATATAATCAATATTTGATATATTAAGAATCTTTTATACTCATTTTTGGGAAACATTGCTTTAATATGAAAACAATTAATTTGATGGCAGCAAGGGGAGAAATGGACATATTCCTTTCAGAGATTCAAAGCTAACCCGCATACTGCAGTCCTCATTAGCAGGCAATGCTAAAACTGCGATCATCTGCACCATGAGCCCTGCAAGGAGCCATGTTGAACAAACCAGAAATACCCTTTTATTTGCTACTTGTGCTAAAGAAGTGACAACCAATGCAAAAGTCAACGTAGTGATGTCTGATAAGCTGTTAGTCAAGCAACTGCAAAAAGAGTTATCTAGACTGGAAAGTGAGTTGAGAAATTCCGGGCAAATGCGCCTTAAATCGGATACTTCAGCATTGCTGAAGGAAAAAGACCTCCTAATTGAGATGGTAAGGATCAACATTTTCAGAACAAAGATTCGTTACGTTTATCGAAGTAGAATTTATTACGCTAATGAAATATATTAACCATAATGTCACATCATGTAAGTGCATTAACTTAAAAAGTAGATTGCACTGTTTGTAAGGTAGCTTCTCTCTAGATTGTTGTTTAATTTCATCTATTTGTTACTGGTCCTGTAATGTTCCGCAGTTCACGGTTTATTCCACACCTTCCCTGTTGTAGACTTTTTATATTGAATTATTCTTAGACAACAAGGATGTGGTTTGGCACGGGGGTTCTCATTTTAAGGCCCTGACGTGAAGTACTCACAGGATAGCCAATTTCAGTGGTTTTTTTTAATATATATAATAGCATTTTGGCAAGATAACTTCAAATGTTTTCTACAATGTATCGTTACTGACCATTTACACGCAACCAGCAGATGAGTTTTAGAATATATGGGGAATGAGAACACTATAATTTCCTCGAGTCTGAGCTTCTGTTTCTTTTCGAAGTTATAAATATAAAACCTGTTGCCGTTCCTCTGTTTTTTCAGTTAAAGAAAGAGGTAATGGATCTGACGATGCAGCGGGACCTTGCTCAATCTCAAATTAAGGATATGCTTCAAGTGGTTGGAGACGAAACGTCCTCGACTGAATTGGTATGAGTTCTGTACTTGCCTACTCTAAAGCATTAAAAGTGGTAATTAGTCATTCCTTTTTTATCTATTTTATGTTCAATCCCAATCTCCAGGACAGTTTGGGTCATAGATATCCCAAATTACGTGTGCGAAGTTCATTTGACTTGGAAAATAGAACTTCCGAACGACCACATTTATCAAGTTTTGACTGTATTGAGAGTGTCAGATCTTTTGATGCATCTCAATATTCAGATGGACATAGTATTAGTTCTGATGAGAACTATTTCCAACTCCCTGATTTGGAAAAGAGTCTTCCCGTCAGGATTTCTTCCTCTGCGTTTTCCATTGATAGTCTTGATGGTACAAGTAATGATTTGGATCAGAAAAGCGCTCAAGATCAGCATGAAGATGATTTAGAGGAACGTTGCATGGAAGTTAGGTGCATTGAGTCAGAAGATATATTTACAAACACCCATACACACTCAAATCCAGCAGATATAAATGAAAATTTATGCACAGATTCTATTGCATCATCTCCAACCGTCTCAGGATTAACCGAAGTTGATAATAGAGACAAAGAAGATCCAGATTCTCGTTCAGCTGCGTTAAAGGACAACAAAGAAATAAGCAGCGTGCAAGAACGTTTTGTTCTTCCCTCTCCAAAGAAAATATCTCTATCGCTAACACAAATTGGTGCATCTAGTTCTAAAACTGTGAAATTAACCAGAAGCAGAAGTTGTAAAGCAAGTCTCATGAGAGATCCGTCTTCAGACTGGTTTGACCTAAAAGAAATGATTCAGAACACCGCCCCAATAGGAATTGAAAAAGACTTTAATGGAAGACCCGAGGGCCTTCACAGAATGACTTTTGCTCTCAAGTATGATGTCAATGTTCAGAGGTTATCATGGACTGGTCACGAGAATTCCACGGGAAGTGCTGTAGATGCACAGAATATGAAAACTTACTCTGATATCGAAAGTTATAGCGATAATTCATTAGCACCGGGAAGAAAGGAAAAAGATCTTGAAAGTTCAAGTCTACAAGCGAACCCTGAGGTACGCTTCTAATTGTTTCCATAATTTGTTTCTTTTTGTCTTGTCCCGTTCTAATTCGCGAGTTGTCTTCCTTTGATCCAACTAGGAATGCTTCTAGTTTACTTTACCGATTCACTTTTGTACTTTGGTTAACCATGTAACTGATGGAAGTAGCATGTTTATATTATTAACAAAACCCTTCTTATATGAAAATTCAGCCAGTGATTCTTTTAGTTATTTTGCATGGCAGGTTCCAGAAACTGGATTGCAGTCCGATGATACTGCAAAGAAATTGAAAGATGTGGGTTTGGATTCAGTGCAATCTGAGGAAGAAAAACAGTTGGCATGGACTTCGGAATTTAAGCGGCTACAGAAAGAGATTATTGGACTCTGGCATGCTTGTCATGTTTCATTGGTTCATAGGACTTACTTTTTCCTTCTATTCAAAGGAGACCCGTCTGATTCTATCTATATAGAAGTAGAGCTAAGAAGGATGTTGTATCTCAAGCACACCTTTTCCAATGGGAATCAGACTGTTGAAGACGGATATACCCTTACGCTTGAATCAAGGTAAGACTTCAAGTATTCTTCTTTTAAACTTTTTATGAATTTTTATTTCAAGTTTAAGTTTCACATTTCTGTGTAATTACAAAACCAACAATGCGCGCATTTGGAAAACAGCCAGAGGTATCTGAGAGGTGAGAGACAGATGTTGAGCAAACAAATGGAGAAGAAGCTGTCAAAATCTGAAAGAGAGAACCTGTATGTTAAATGGGGGATTCGTTTGAGTTCAAGGCATAGAAGGTTGCAGCTGGCCCATCGCTTGTGGTCAAAAACAGAAGACATAGACCACATTAGAGAGAGTGCCATCATTGTTGCAAAGCTGGTTGGTTCAGTAGAGCCAGATCAGGCTTTCAAGGAGATGTTTGGGCTTAACTTTGCCCCGAGGTGCACAAAAAAGAAATCTTTTGGTTGGACATCTAGCATGAAGTATATTTTGTAAGCTTGATTTTGTCATAAGCAAATTATTTTAGAAGAAGTTTGATTTGGCCATGTAAAAATCCCCCCTTGGCTCCATTTTAATGTAGGACATTCTTTTTTTTCCACTTTCTAAAAACAATCTGATTTCTATTTTATGTTTCTAACTCCAATTGCTGCTTTATTGTAAGGAGTTTGTTAGGATGTGCAATTCCAAGTTACAGGTTTCGCTTGTACAATGTGATTACATAATTGAGGTCTACACTCACCGTGCATAAAAGAATGCATATTAACTTGTGAACAATTAATATAATCTTAAAAAAAGAAAAGGAATTATTAGATCGCACATTTAGCATTATGTGCCAAAAAAATTAAGTTTTGTTTTCCAGTTTTGAAAACTACTGCCTCTAGTTTTCATTAACTTTTCTTTCGCAAATCTCGACTTTCACATTCGTAGAACCTTTAATTTAATCTCCGGCATTTGCAATTTTAAAATGAAAAATCTTATGAAAACTAAACTAAATAAATAATATTCTAATTCTAAATGAACCAAAATTTACTAAAGTTTTATAAAGAAAAATTAGACAAATTTTATCAATAATAAAACTTTATTATATAGTATATAATCAATCTGAACTTTATAGTTAACCTTGATCATCGAAAATAATAAAATTTTAGTATTAGTTTAATAATCTTACCATATTTTTCATGCTTATATATTTGCTTTAAATTTGTGTATTTGTATTGTTTTATATTTTTAAGGATAAAAGTTAAAAAATATTTTTTTTATTAATTTATTAAGATGAGGTTTTAATTTTTATTAAATCATTAAAAATAAATAATAAAGATGAATAATGAATATCTAATTTGCATTCTTAAAATAAATTGATATTTTTTTCTCGTATTCTCTCAATGTATATATATTATAAGGAGAAATATCAATATTTTGTTTATAATCTTCATCAATAAACATATGTTGGACTCATGCTTGTTCGCTATGGATTTGTGGCCCAAACAGGTTGCCTTAAATTGGAAAAAAAAAAAACATTCGTTTAGAAATATTTTTTTATGTGTTGGGAAAACCTATCACATGAAAATTAGGATTCCACAATAATAATAAAAATATTTCAAAAAATATAAAATAAATTAAAGATGTCCTGCCATTCACCAACTCACTTCTTGTCAATTAAAATTTTGTTATTTTAGATGAATTGTTGGTCAACATAACAATCAACCTAATATCCATAAATTCAATATTCTAAAATTATGATTGTATATGAATATGCATTTATTTAAATACTTGAAAATGAAATTATCGATCAAATGTTTGTATGATTTTAAATCATCATAAATAACTTAAGTCACTTCCCAAAATTTAAATGGTAACTACGTAATCAAACAAATCTTAAGTTTGTCTGCATGTTATAGATATAGGTTACAAATATTTAAGTATATAGAAAAAGGAAAAGTTGTATGTTAGCTTTCAAAGGATAGTAGTAATCAATGTTTAAACTAAAATACATCCCTTTGATGATTAAAATGTAGTAAAAGCTGATGCATTATTTATGAAAATATATTTTTTATTTGTAATTGTTGCATGTGTTTATGAATCTCATATTATTTAATAATTAAAATTAAAGATAATACATATATATCATTTTTTTCTCAATCCATCAAAATATGTTTTAAAGATAAAATCATAATAGATAAAATATCATAATGGATATAAGACACTATAAATGAAACTAAGATAGAGGAATTATTAATGTATATACTACGGAGATGAGAATATACACAAAATATTATATAAGAAAATTCATACATTACAAGAGATATTAATGCTTATTATAGAGGGATAGAGTATGGGAAAAAAATATATAAGAAAATTCATTAGAAATTTAATCTAAGATCATGAAAAAATGGAAAAATTCTCTTTTTATCCTTTTATCTTTCCATAAATATACAATTTTTTTTTTAATTCACGTTGAGGGAAAACATTATCCCAAAATAAAAATTAGAAATGAATTTATGAAAAAAAAAATATTATGTAGAAACATGTTAGTACAACACAAATTCATGAACTCGTCTAAACAAATAGTAAAATATAGAGAAGAATTGGTCATGTGACGGAAAACTTACAGATGATTTGTGATCATACTGAATGGGACAATGTATGATTATATGATAGTAATTAAAAATTTAATTAAAAAATAAATTATTAAATGGATAATGTATTGGTGATTAATTCATATTTTTTGTAATAATCTATTCAAACATTACAAAAGTATTATAAAGAGATTATATTTAAAGAGGAGGGATCACTTTATTTTAAGAAGAAGAATAAGAGTCAAAGACTTGTTTTTTTTTTTCTTATAATTATTAAATTTTTAGTTTTTATTATAGTATGTGGATTTTTTTTCGTGTACGGAGAGTTTTTTTATCTTTTCAATGAAATGACTGGGTTATTCGAATGTTATAAATTAGAAGATCCTCTTTAATAGATTACGTTTTATATGTAGATGATTATTTTTAAGAAGGCTTGACATACTAAAATTATAAATCTAAAACTTTTTTTTCACTCAATATGAGTAAGAAATTGGGTAAAAAAAAATAAAAAATAATTTTTCAATATTCTTTAGTACAAGCACTCTTCATTATAGAATTTTCACAAATTAGAAACTAAATTACTATTTAAAAAGAGATACTCATTTTCTTTGGAGACTGTAAAATTTTTTATAATCTATATATATTTATGATTTTGATCTAAACTTAATAATTATTAAATATATTTATAATTTTGAATTTTCACCTTTTTATCTTTTTTATATATTTATTAATAATATATTATTTAATTTAAAAATCAATAATAAAGATATGTTACTATTTAATAAATTAAAAATAAAAATATGTAGTTTAAACTCTCATAAGATAAAAACTCATGATATTGAGAAAAAATAAGTGATCCACTGATTACTTATTATTAGAAAGAAACATAGTTCTAATAAAGTTTGTTGCCAAAACATCACCGACATATTCAATGGACTACTTTAAAACACGCAAGAGGGTTTCGTAATGAGCTCACAAGTTTGCATACTTTAGTTTTGATGGAACCAACTAAGTGATAGAACTAAAATTATGTGAGTTAGTTGGAAGTTTGAATCTTCATAAAAGTTCTATATATGTGGGTTATGGATGCTCTGATTTGATAACTTTCAAACTTCTCTAATATACAGGCAGAAGATTTATGAATCTGTATTCTTTATTAAGGAAAAAATATTTTTCTACTTTGCTCTTTCCAAAAAACTATGGAGGGATGAAGCCATCTAGAGTGGAAAAGCTTGTTGGAACCCACAAAGAAGGAATAGTGTGGAAAGTAAAGCTTTGGAGAGTTGGGTCTGTGTGTTGGTAGAGTGATTAGTGATTATTGATAAACTCTGTATGAGTGGCCAAAATGGCGTGCATGAGAGGTGTTTGATGCATGGCCACTCTGCTTGGTTTGTAGAGACACCCACTAGCCATGTGTGTATGATATTAAGATCATTGAACATGAATGGACATGTCTCTTCATTGAGGAAAGTGGTTGAGTTTATTTGTGTTTTGGGGCATTTGCAAAGCATTGTATGATAGTGTTTAATGGTAGATACAAATAGGGTATGTTTGTGGTGCTCCCTTTATTTATTATAAGGCCCACTACTGTACTCTTATAACTACAATACTCTCTCTCTCTCTCTCTCTCTCTATATATATATATACTGTGTAAGAAAAATAAAGTTTTGATAGCATAAAAATTAACAAGTACATCACTAATTGATATGGTACTAAGAACACCTACCTTTATAAATGGCTATTGATGTAATTATAAAAATAAAGGTGCAACATTGATTTCGGATTTTAATACTAACAATTACTTTCTCAATCTCTTTTTAAGTGTTGAATAAAATTTTCTTTTACTTTTTTTTAATCTAAATAGAATGGATAATAAATTTTGCTTTTAACACTTATATGTCCATACTTTTTATATTATTAATTTTTTTTCCCTCTTTAAATGTAACACTTTTTTTTCTCATTTATTATATGTATAATATTATTTTTCTCTCTCCTAAAAAAGTAATATAATATTTAAGCGATAACAAAAAAAAAAAAAAACTCCCAAACATTATAATAAACTATTTTATAGTTAAATTTAAATATATATTTCCTTGTAAACTCATCGAATTGCATTTTAAAAAAACACAACAAAATTTAATATGAAAATTTCAAATATATTATAAAACATAATCATTTTTAACTCAAGTGTTCTTGAATTATATCATATCATATCCATTATCATATTATATAAATACTAACCCACTTTTAAAAAATTAAATATTAAATAAAACATAAAAATATGTATTTTTCATAACTTTTTAAATATTAAACATAAGAGTAATTAATTTAATATATATACTCACCTAATTAAGGTAAATTTCTAAATAATTTATTAATGTATTTTTTTTCATGTTGGCTAAGTTATTCAAAATTTCACTAACACCACCAATCTTTTAATCTATGTTATTTAATGATTAATAGAGTGAAAATATTTTCTCGAATTTTAATATTAATATTTATACAAAAATAGGAGAATACCCTTTGATATTTTCCTATATTACAATACACCACATTTGCACAAAATGACATCTCACACATTTAATTATAGCATAATTCATGATAAATTTAAAAATACTATCTAATTAATTTAGTGTTTAATTTATCATTCAAAATATAAAGATATAAAATAGGTACTTTTTAATCAATTAAAAAGACACTTTCAAATCCCTTAAAGTTCAATTAATTTTTGCAAAAATGGTTAAGCAGATTTTAAATCCACTAAGCGAATTTAAAATGTGATAGTGAATTATGTAGACAATATCAATATTCTTTCTTACCAAATTTTTGTTCAGAAAACCTTACACAAAATTGAGTCCTTTTCACTGTCCCAAATTCATTAGGTGGATTCTAAGATGTTAGAGCAAAATTTAAGATTTTTTAATATTGTCTTAAATCTCCTAGACAAAGTTTTGAAAATACCAAAATTACATAATATGTCAATATTTTATTTTCAAATCCCTAGATCAAATTGCATCCAAATACTATATATCCTCCAAATTACAAATTAATTTATTAAATTTAATCTAAGAATAATAACACAAAACATCATTAATTTTAACATGGTAGAAACCAATTATAAATTTATATTCAATCTTCAATTAAAATTATCTTACAATCAACGCATACAATCACTTAGCTCATATTTTTATTCAATAATGTGACGTGACAAAGTCAATTTCATAATCCAAATTTTAAGAAATATAAAAATTAAAAAAATAACTACTTTTTCTTACTTTTTAATTTCTCCTTTTAATTAAAAATCTATAACTTTTAAATTTATAATAAGACAAATCTTACTAAAAAAACGTCTGATGAAACAAATTAAATATATTATAATATTCTTTACCTAATGAAGATTATTTTTTTCCTAACAAAACTTATACATTTACATCCCAAACCCCACATGCAGAACATATCAAATTTACATGTAAATTTCTCTAAAAATAATAAGGAATTAAATAAAATTTTTAATTGAAAGAAAATGTTTCACTTTATTCCAAAAATATTTTGGCTTGCTTAAATTAAAAAAAATGAAAAACCTAAAGAAAAGACAGAAAAAAATGATAAAAAAATATTATTTTTATGTAAATAAAGTTTAAATGAATAAAATTTTCATTTGTAATTTTGTCAACTTAGTTAATAATGCTCAAAATTTTATCGCCTTAAATCACTTTATTGATCTACTTTAATTAGGTCCTAGTCCCAAGAAGTGTTAATTTAGATACTATCTAATTTTTAAATTTTTTTAACATATCCGAAATTAATATTAAGTAGTGTTTTCTTATAAGATGGAAGTGGATATTTTCAATTGGCTGTTCATTGGGACAAGTTCAAGAAACTTAATCAGGTAATGTACTTATTTGTCACGTATTATCTTAAAACAGTTGTTAATGAGTTATGACTAGATTTATGTCATATCACTGTCATAAAATGTCGATGGTCGTTTTTTAAAAGTTAAATTTATGACAATTAAACCAAGTCAAGTTATTTCAGATAACTAAATTAAAAAATAATAGATTTGTAAAAGAGTAGAATTATTTCCAGTGTCCGAAAGGTAAGTAAGTTGACTTACAAAATGACCTGTGGCTATTCAATTGTACATCAAAGAGACACCAAAAGTCAAAAATCCAATGCCATCTCTAACCATTAGCATTTCTTAAACCAGTTTAGAAGTTATAGTAATTTTTTACAGAAACTAAGACTTTCTTGATTATTTGTGAATCGTATCAATAGTCAACTTTTGGATAATAATTTTTAAATAAAAGTGTACATCCCATCATAAACAAGTTTAGTTTAAAATAAATAATTTATCTTAAACATATATATATATATATATATATATATATTTTGATTCATAATTGATAATAATAATTTATATTAAATTTGTATAACAATAATATAATGATAATAAATTGATAATAATGATTTTTACTCAATTTACATATAAAAATAATATAGTGATAATAGAATGATTAGAAAAGATTCAAACAAACAAGTTTGAGATTTAATTTCATCTATATCACTTCTATGTAATTTAGATGAATATAAATACGTAGTATCTGAATTTATTAATATTGATACAACTCACAATAATCATTTATACTCGATTTCTCATGTATAAAATTCATAAAACCGATTTTCCAAATATTAATTCCTCACATATCTAACAAACTGTCCAACATTCTTTTTCAGTGTTAAAAATAATTGATATATTGAAATTTATTCCTAGCATCATAATACATCAAATATTTTTGTTTAGATCATATTTTCATAAATACTTTCCAGTCAAATCTAAAAATCACATTCACAACTCTATTGATCAAATAAAATCAAACATTAAGAGCAAAACAAATATTTCAATATTAAATAGATACGTAGACACATAAAAGTTATATATAAATATCACCAGATTTCATCCGAGTTCGAATCGATTACATTCAATCCCAAAAGGAAAGATTAACTACTTGTAAAACTATTAACATCCTAAGAGAAGAAGGGAAACCCTAAAACTAAAACTGGAAAAGAACTTTCCCTAATATTGTCAAAAACAGCGTACCCTATTTTTTCGTCTAAACCACAAAATATATATATTGTGCGAGTTCTCGCGTAAGCTAAATTGTTTTCACTTGGACAATAATGACTTTTAAATTAATTGTTCTCTGGACGAATCTCGGTTAAGCGACATTATTCTAGCTTAAACAAGTTATTATAGGATTTCATGTTTTTTCTTTTCTTCTTTTACTTTTAAATTTCTTTCTCTTTAAACATGTACGAGAATCAAATAATTTTTTTTTATTAAAACTTGGAAACATAATTATATTCCATCATTTTTAAATTAAGGGAAATTGATACAAAATATACAAAAGTTGAAAATATTATTTTTTATTGGCACTTATCAGACTTGGATTGAAAATAAGCAACTGAAGTGAATGAAAAGAATGGTGGAGAATTAAAAGCAAATTGAAAGCATGAAGCAGAGTGGGTAGGTTGTGATTAAGTTGTTGCATTGGTGGAAGGAGAGGACAATGGTTCATTACTACATAGTTAGGAATAAAGGATAATGTTATGCAATAAACCCTTTAATGGAGCATACAAATACAGTGACCATTTTCCCTTTGTTCCTTCCTTTTTGTTTTTTCCCCCTAAACTACCTCCACTCCCACTCCAAACAACCAAAGACATTTCGCCCATTACAAACTTTGTCGTATGGATTGTCTTTGAATTGTCAAAAATTTCAACTAAAATCAGTACAACCAATGACGTCAATCCAAGTTGTTCCTACGACAACTTTATGCCCAAAAATACGATCCAAATCCTAAGAAACACCGCAAACTTGGCTCTTTCTGCTTTCAACTTCGCCCACGTTTTTTGACCACTCGCGGATCCTCCGTCCAATTGCCCCCACCGTTGATGTATTTAACAACTTTTTTATCCCTTCAAAAATAGTTAGTGTTGTTAAGATATCTTATCATTTTTAATCTGCTATCAGAATCTATTTTAAAAATGTTTAGATATGAAAAATTTCTAATATGATAACATTCATGATATAATAATAATAATTATTATTATTATTGAATAGTAAAATGTATATAAGAGAAATATTTTTTTACTCGTTAAAAAGAATTCATAAATTCTTCACTGATCTTGACCAATCTAACCCAGAGGGATGAACCAAACTCAACATTTTAAAAGGGACACTGAACGTGCAGCCAAAATCTGGGGATGAAAGTATAAAGTACGAAACAAGTAAAATATGTCCCATCCATCACAGCATCAGGAAACCTCAGATTCAAAAAATTCAATTATCGTCCCCTTCTTCTTTATTTTGGCGGAACCATTTGTCACCATGTTATTCCAATTCAACACCAGAAGTGGATCAGATCCCAACCTCAATTCCAACGTTAAGTTGTGGAAAATAAAATGAAACATCAGACACACGTTGCCTGTTTCCATATTGGACCAAGACAATTTCTTCGGAAGCGTCAAACGTTATTAAAATTGGCATAAGTATTACTTGTTAAATCTATATAGTTTTATGTATTAACACAAGAGGAAATTTTTTAAAATGTGTAGAAAACACTGCAAAAGGGAAAGTAGTGACACGTGGAGAGAAGACAGTGAATGCATGTTTTGGGATTGGATTGTAAGTAAGCATGAAGGTGATGTGAAAGAATAGGAGTTAATTAGATGCACCGATTAAAGCCTCGACAAGAAAACAAAACAGAAGGGAGAGTTAAACATGCAAAGATAAGATAGAGAGACACATGCCTCAATCATTCTTCCTATCACATCCTTCACAACCATTTAACTACGCCCCATTCATTGAAAACCTACCACATTAGCCAAAACATTCACATATACATATATCTAACTAAATTAAATATATGTCAAATTTAAATAAAATCAAATCTATGGTCCATATTATGTCTTTCTTCGTGTTTTCTTAGTTTTTTTTTTTTACATAATGATCATTTGTTTATGTCATTTTATCCCGTTTAACTTGTTAAAATAAGAAAAAATAGAGATTAGTTATTTGAATATTTTTTTTAGATTTATTTTTTAATATAATTTCGAAAATTACAACAGATACTTTAGTCAAGTTTGTTTTTTCTGTACTCCTATTTCTTACAATCTTTATAAAAATATCTCCATGAAAGAAAATTTCTAATAATATTTGAAAAATACATCATAATAAAATTATTAATAAATTTAAAACGTTCAAAATTATACTAAGTCATAATTTCTTTTTCATCATTTGTTTGCATGCATTGAAAAGCAAAGGTCGAAAAAATAATTAAAATAAAAATTTGGAATAAAAAAACTGATAATAGTTTTTGACGCATATTTGTTGGTGCTGGTTCTCTTGTTTACTTAACATATTTAAAGATATGAATGAAAACAGAACGAAGAAAATAAGATGGTGAATAGAAAAATACTTCATATACTACATAAATGGATAAATAGAAATTGAAGAACACAAGTTAAACTAGAACATGTGACCACATGTAAACCCACTTGGTTACTTTCTTTTCATTCACAGATGCACCAAAAAGGCCTCTAGTGTTAAGAGGAGAAAAGCCTGGGGAATCACTGTTTCACCTTTCAGAACCTTTTTCCCATGGGATAACTGCAGTCAATGAAAGCCGGGAACGTTGAAATTATATGTAATTAAAAAGTAGAAAATAGTACAAAGTTATTTTACAAATAAAAACTTATTTGTATAATTTTAAAAGAGAGAGAATCTGTATGCGAGAGTGGGTGATAAAATATGGTAAGCAACCCATTTCATCCAACATATACGGGTCGGATAATAGTTTGAAAAAACCATGCCCGAATATAATATGACCGTTAATTTAGTATTGAGTGTAGAAGATTGTAACCAGCTGGCGACAGAGTTGATAGTTGGGTGAGAGAGAACAGGTATGAGACTGGTTCCTTTCCTGCACCAAAGTATGAATAATCTCAAAAGCTTAAAACTAAAACCTTCATGCATTTAGCCAAATGCCAATTCTAGCTTCAAATTATTTTATATCATAAACTAAAAATTCACCTGTAAATTAAGATTCTTTATGTATTAAAGTTTAAGAAACAAGTGTTTTTACTGTATAAAGAAATGATTGTTTGTAATTATGATATAAATAAGTAAAGAAATTATATAGAAAGGGACGTGTGAGTTTTGGAAGAGGTTGGTGCAGTAGAAATGGAGCGGGGAGATGAGAAGTAAGGATGTTGGAATAACCCAACCCAGCTCACTCCTCACTCTCTTCCTCCCTGCACTACCATGACTAAATTTCTCATCCTTCTTCTATTGTGCGCTGGCTTCTTATCATGCGCCCAGTGTGGCTCCGTCACCGAGATTCAAGCCTTAACGTCGTTCAAGCTCAACCTTCACGACCCTCTCGGCGCGCTAAACGCCTGGGACCCGTCAACGCCATTAGCTCCGTGCGACTGGCGCGGCGTTTCCTGCCAAAACGACCGAGTCACTGAGTTACGTCTGCCGCACCTTCAACTCAGTGGCCAACTCGCTGACCGCATTTCAGACCTACGCATGCTTCGAAGGCTAAGCCTTCGTTCCAACTCCTTCAACGGCACCATTCCCCGCTCCCTCTCCAAATGCACGCTCCTACGCGCCTTGTTCCTGCAGTACAACGACCTCTCCGGCCAGCTCCCGTCGGAAATCGGAAACCTCGCCGCTCTCCAGATTCTCAACGTTGCTGGGAACAACCTCTCCGGCGAAATCCCCGCCGAACTCCCCCTCCGTCTCAAATACATCGACCTCTCCGCCAACGCCTTCTCCGGTGAGATTCCGAGCACCATCGCCGGTCTTTCCGAGCTTCAGCTTATCAACCTCTCCTACAACGAGTTCTCCGGCCAGATTCCAGCGCGCATCGGAGAGCTTCAGAATCTGCAATACCTTTGGCTCGATCACAATGTTATCGGCGGAACCTTACCTTCGTCTCTCGCGAATTGTTCCTCGCTCGTGCATTTGAGCGTCGAAGGGAACGCGCTCGCCGGCGTGTTACCGGCTGCTATTGCGGCTCTGCCGAACCTCAAGGTATTGTCCCTTGCGCAGAACAGCTTCACCGGCACCGTTCCGGCTTCCGTTTTCTGCAACGTGTCACTCAAAGCGCCGTCACTTCGCATCGTTCAGTTAGGGTTAAACGATTTCACGGGTTTCGCGTGGCCTCAAGCCGCCACGTGTTTCAGTGTTCTTGAGGTTTTGAATATTCAGCGAAATAGCGTGCGCGGCATGTTTCCGATGTGGTTAACCAACTTGACCACGTTGTCGGTTCTCGATATTTCCGGTAACGCACTTTCCGGTGATATTCCGCCAGAAATTGGAAGTCTTTGGAAATTGGAAGAGCTGAAGATGGCCAATAATTCGTTCTCAGGCTATATTCCGCCAGATATCGTAAAATGTAGGTCCTTGCGTGTTGTTGATTTGGAAGGAAACCGATTTTCCGGGGAGATTCCTTCGTTTATAGGAAATCTGACAGCGCTGAAGGTTCTCTCTCTTGGTGTGAACCATTTCTCTGGTTCGGTTCCGGTGAGTTTTGGTGGGCTTGTTTCTCTTGAAACGTTGAGTTTAAGGGGTAATAGATTGAATGGTACAATGCCAGAGGAAGTGATGGGGTTGAAGAATTTGACAGTGTTGGACCTCAGTGGAAACCAGTTTTCGGGTCATGTTTCTGGGAAAATTGGGAATCTGAGTAAATTAATGGTTCTGAATCTGAGTGGTAATGGCTTCTACGGAGAAATTCCTTCTGCTTTGGGGAATCTTTTCAGGCTCACTACACTTGATTTGAGCAAACAAAATCTCTCCGGTGAATTGCCATTTGAAATTTCGGGCCTTCCCAGTTTGCAGGTCATTGCTCTTCAAGAGAACAAGTTGTCTGGGGTGATCCCTGAAGGGTTTAGCAGCTTGATCAGTTTGAAATATGTGAACCTGAGCTCTAACGAGTTTTCTGGGCATGTTCCTAAGAGCTATGGCTTCCTTCGATCGTTGGTTGTTCTTTCATTGTCTGATAACCGTATCACCGGAGTGATTGCCCCGGAAATTGGAAACTGCTCTGACATTGAAATTATCGAGCTTAGATCAAATTACTTGGGGGGTCCCATTCCAACGGATCTCTCTGGCCTTGCCCATTTGAAAGTCCTTGATTTGGGTAAGAACAATTTAACTGGGGCTTTGCCCGAGGATATCTCCAAATGCTCAGAGTTAACTGTTGTGTTAGCAGATCACAATCAACTTTCTGGTGCTATACCAGGGTCATTGGCGGAGTTGTCATCCCTAACTATGCTGGATCTCTCTGGCAACAAATTTAGTGGCGAAATCCCTAGTAATTTGAACAACATCCATGGTTTGGTGTACTTCAATGTCTCAGGCAACAACTTAGAAGGTGAGATTCCACCAATGTTGGGTTCTAAATTCAACGACTCCTCTGTATTTGCAAACAACCATAACTTGTGCGGGAAGCCATTGGATAGAAAGTGCGAAGAGACAGACAGTGGGGAGAGAAATAGGTTGATAGTGTTAATCATTATCATCGCAGTTGGAGCTTGTTTATTGGCATTGTGTTGCTGCTTCTACATCTCCAACCTTCTGAGATGGCGCAGAAGGATCAAAGCAGCAGTGTCAGGGGAGAAGAAAAAGAGTCCAAGAACAAGTTCAGGAACAAGTCAAGGTCGAAGCAGTACTGACACCAACGGACCAAAACTCGTCATGTTCAACGCCAAAATCACCCTGGCAGAAACAATCGAAGCAACAAGGCAATTCGATGAAGAAAACGTGCTGAACAGAACAAAACACGGTTTAGTATTCAAGGCCTGCTACAACGACGGAATGGTCCTTTCCATTCGCAAGCTCCAAGACGGGTCACTAGATGAAAACATGTTCAGAAAAGAAGCCGAATCGTTAGGAAAAATCAGGAACCGAAACCTAACCGTCCTCAGAGGATACTATGCAGGCCCACCGGATGTTAGACTCTTGGTCTACGATTACATGCCCAACGGGAACCTCGCAACGTTGCTCCAAGAAGCATCACACCTAGATGGTCATGTTCTCAATTGGCCAATGCGACACCTCATTGCATTAGGAATAGCCCGTGGCATAGCGTTTTTACACCAGTCCTCACTTATCCACGGTGACATCAAACCCCAAAACGTGCTCTTTGATGCAGACTTCGAAGCCCATTTATCAGATTTCGGGTTGGACAAGTTAACAGTTCCGAACCCAGTTGAAGCCTCCACTTCAAGCACTGCCTCAGTTGGCACGTTGGGTTACGTGTCCCCAGAGGCCGTGTTAACAGGGGAACCCACGAAAGAGTGTGACGTGTACAGCTATGGCATCGTGTTGCTGGAGCTTCTCACCGGGAAGAGACCAGTGATGTTCACGCAGGATGAGGATATAGTGAAGTGGGTGAAGAAACAGTTGCAGAACGGTCAAATTACAGAGCTACTAGAGCCTGGTTTGTTCGAACTTGATCCAGAGTCTTCGGAATGGGAAGAGTTCTTGCTGGGTTTGAAAGTGGGTTTGCTTTGCACAGCACCAGACCCTCTTGATCGACCAACCATGGCTGACATCGTGTTCATGCTCGAAGGTTGTCGTGTTGGGCCCGATATTGCATCTTCTGCGGAACCCACCACCCAAACTTCTCCTGTGTAACATAGACAACTGACACGTGTCTGTTGAAGTTTCACATTTTGTTCTTTCAGGAAAAATGTTTTTCTGACTTTATCATGAACTTTATGATGTCAGATATTGATTCTGTTACCAAAGGATTGGGGTGTGTTTTGTACTGGTGGCATTCGAGTTTCTTGATGCCAAAAGTGGGTTTCTCAATGTTGTGGTAGTTGTAGTGAAAGAAATTAGAAAAATTGAAATTGGAAGCTGAACTACGGGATCAGTTAGAAGTAGAAGTCTCAATTATTAGGCATTGTCTAGAGTGGGTCCTGATTTATTTGATTTGGATTATTGCATTATTATCTGTCATTTTGACCAATTTTTTGGTCTTGGGAATCTATCAGCAAAAGGGATTTTGAGAAGGAAAAATAATCATTTCTCACTCACTTTTAATCCCATCTTCCAAATTTGTTTCAATTTATTTTTATAGCTCTACTATATGCTTTTTTTTTTTTTCTTATACTTATGTGTTTACTATACGAGATCAACCGAGAAAGTGGTGAGTCTCTCTAATATCTTATCTATTTAATCAGCATTATACCAAGACTTATAGAATAAATATCTATTCCCATATGTATTTGGGGAAGAATTTGATTTTAATGAAATAAATCTTCAAAATCTTTTCATTAGTTATAATAAAATAAGATACTTTCTTTCTTTCATAATTTATTTAAAAATATATCAGGATCCGTTATGATGAACTGGTTCATAATATTTCAACTAATTTTGTTTTTCAAGTTATGTAAATATTACTTTAGTTTTTTTAAAGACTTTATTTCTTCTAAAGAATATTACTATATATTATTGAAATTTAAATATCATAAAATATTTTATTTTTATGTAATGTTGAAATCTTTTTATAATATTTGCTCTTTACTTACATGTTGAATGTAAGAAAATTGTAAATTGTGTTATTATTAAGCTTTACTATTATTTATTATTCCTATAGATTTAGAGTTTAATAAATCTCTTT